TGTACAAATAAGCAAACAAATACTGCTGATTAGTTATAAAAAAATTATTTTCTTACATAAAACTAATCACATCAAAACCTTCTCATTGTAGTCTATTCCAACCATCCATAATAATGTAATCAGTTTCATGATGTGGACTTTTGTACCATGAAATCCTGGAGGACTAAGTTAGTATCCTACACCACACGAGTCACTATGTCTTTTTGACTGAGCTAAATGCAAAAAAATTATTTATACAAGCATATATCTACCCCTCACAAAATCTGTCTGTGGGTCTAATTACATCAAGTGACTTAACAGGGTCTGAACCTAGCACATTTGATGGCTGAGGTCAAAAGCAGCTACAGGTATCCCTCGAGATAAAAATGTTCGAGATGTGAATATTCGCTTATATGAATTTCCTAAATCAACACCACTATTTCAAGAATGAAAGCTTCCCCGCTTATATGAATTTTGGTCCTGGCAAAAATTTAAATTTCGGTCGCTGGGAGTCACTTGGCGCATCCATCTTGGGAAGACATGCGGAGAGAAAGTATTCTCGCTTACTGATCATTACCCCCCCTCCCTCCCATATGTCCCACAAGCCTGCATCTTTCCTTCCACCATTTGTTGTGTGTGTGTGTGAAGTGATCTCTCTTAATCCATGTGTATTCATGACATCCCAAAGAAAATATGAAAGGCTGGAGGTAATAAAGCAACATGAAGCATCTTCAGCTTCTAGTCCCACTTCTTCCACCCCTTCATCCTCCTGTGTGACTGTGGTGTCCTTGGTAGACAGCAGTGATGAGGTGGACAATCCTCCTCATCTCACTGAGTAAAGCCCTTACTCAGCCCACCTCTTTGTGGTGGTGAGCCCAGACTGCCCTCCCATAAGGTAATGTACCAAAGTTAAACAGTACAAGGTAACTCGTGTTTGGTTTAAATGTTCTTGGAATAACGCGATTGTTCAATTAATACCAAAAGTTAATTAACGCGCACCTATTTTTTAAATAACGCGGTCAAGACAGTTTAAATTTGCCGCACGTATTGGCCCGGTCACCTGGCAGTGGAGTCAAGTGTGATGCCTGGTGAAGTGCTTGTAAGTTATTACGATAAAGTTGCAGTCATGTCAACATTAAAAATTTTAATATTATTGTTAATAATAATAATTATTATAATAATAAAGATTAATCCTACTAATGATGAAGATAATGAAGTATTCTGTACAAAAACTGTAACGACGTCCACCAAGCTTCCCGCGTATCACTTTCACAGTTCACACCAGCACTACTTTTTCTCTGTGCTCTCATTTGCATTGTGTGTTTATCACGTACCTTTTTAGTGTTAAACGCTGTTTCCCCCATTGAGCATGGCTGGAAAACGTTCATCTGCCTCCTCTGGAGCGCCTAAGGCTAAAAAGGCATGAAAAACAATTGCAATGGACGTGAAATTAAATGAGATTACCCGCCTTCAGAGAGGATAGTGTGTGTTGGAGGTTGGTCGCATGCTTGGTTTAAGTGAGAGCACTGTTTGTACCCTGTGCGGTACGGTATATGATGGTTCCCCTAACTTGTACCATTTACATGTATTCTTATGGGAAAATTATGTTTAATTTACGCATTTGTTAATTAAGCCGTGGTTTTGAAGAACGTAACCCCCCAGTAAAACAAGTGGTGGGTGTATTTTATAAATATTTTTCATGTGTTAGGTAGTACAGTAAATTACAGTAGCAGTGTACTATTTATCATTAGTGAAGTAGGTTTTGTTCTTGCTTGTGAACCAATTTCATATTTTTGGGGTATTTTTGTCATTGGGAAACCGTGCCCTATTTTTCCCACACGTTTTTCTATTTCAGATACAGAAATTCACCTAACAAATGTTTTTTGGGGGATTTAACCCATTCGTGTCTCGAGGGATACCTGTACATTTATTCAGCATATAAAACTCTAAACAATTGTCTAATACACATCAACATTGAAATAAAGATAAAAAAAAGTTTAAACAATAAATGTATTTGTAATTATATAAAAATTATTTTTTTTTCCAGTATACAAATTTTATCCATGTTGAGATCTAGGATTGTGATTTGAATTGCATAAAATATTTAGCACCATCTCCATCATCATCCTACTACAGGGTATCTAAAATCAGCATGTGTACTGTACTTATAAATTCACAATATAGAAAAATCTTACCATTCCCTTCATGAACCTCCAAGTAAAACTAGTATACTGTACATACACTTACTGACCTGTGCTGGCAATTAGTCCTGAACACTTCTGCTTGATTCCCTTGACATCGTCAAAACTCAACTCCATATATGACACTCTGGCAGACACACACTCCCCTATGAACACCTATGGGGAAATGCATGTCACTCACTGCAAACACAATGCATAAGCAAGGTCAGCAATTCTCAATTCTCAACAAAAACACTAACCTTTTATTTGTGCTCTGCATAACGGCACTTTATCATCACAGAGTTAACAGGTTACATTGCTCAATTCAAAATGTTATTGCATAATGCAATGGGCATGGAAAAAAAAAAGCTACTGTAAAATAAAAAAAATAAAAAATAAATAAAAAAACTGTTGGAAACACTATTTCTCTCAGGTGTGAAAAAGAAAAAGATTCCTTGTAATAACCATTTCAAAAACTAATGCAGTTATTTGCCAAAAAATTTTCACCCTCGGAAATGAATTTCCATCACAAAAGTTTCATAACACCATTCTTTTTTAAATAATCTATATCAAGCTATCACTTTTTAACTATATAACTGGATGTAAAAGCATATTCACCGCCAAACATCAGTGATACAGTTAGCCCCTGCACATTCCCTAATACTGAAGTACAGTATATATTGTACATGTTCGTTCATCTAACAAACATTATCCTTTACTCTGCTTATCAATTTTGTTTTTTTGATTCTCCTACACTTTACTTAAAAAATCTGTGTCAGTCTTTCTTCGCCTAATATCTACATGCACTAATGACACAGTCCATCTTGTTTCTCTTTTACTCACATCATCTCTCTTACTTCTAATTAAAACTCCTTGATGATGAAGTTTTAGTTGAAGTACCCGGTACAGTATTTAAAGCTGCCTGTCTTTCTCAAACACAGGTATGCACCACCCTGTTCCCACTTAAAATATGCTTTGAGTATGTAATCAAAGTACCATATCTAGACCTTTAACTACACCACAAGCAGACATGATAACAATTGATGACATTGATTAGCAAATTTAGTCTCTTGTATGAGTGCCCACAATAATATTTCAACAATTTAGAATCTTTTCTCATACGAACATTGATGGTGGAAATTATTGGATTGAGATAAGGAAACCCCATTTTATGGCCAAAAGAACAAAATAAGCAACCTATAGGATACACCACCGATAAGCATCACTGAGCAGAGTCTGTTGGTGCCTATTGGCACGATGGTCCTGTATTATCCAAACAGTATGTGTTTTTGCCGTTATGGTAGGCTCTACCCAGGAGTACTCAACAGTAGTCTATCTTGAAGGTCACGTGTTAAGACTAAAAAGGCTTCTTCCATACTTTGTCTGTCTCTTGTAATTTCTTATGCTCTACCCATCTTCAGTCAAGCCGGGGAACTGATCTAAAAATGCCCTTGCCTATTATGACCACCTAATTATGACATTAATACTTTACTCTACAGATACTACAAAAAAAAAATAAAAAATTAACTTAAGCATTCCATGTATGAATGCACTTATTTTGGTCGTGGTAATATACACAATAATCAAGGTTTTTAGAACTTGCTACCGGAGAGAATCATTGTTTTCAACAATATACTGTACGTACAAGTACATTTTCTCTCATCTTATTAGGAAGACCTAAAATATTAAAGTCAAAATGCAGCAGAAGAGGGCAAGTCATTTTTTCATCTCAATCATTGACTGTACTGTTATGTGGAACCATATTTCAGTGTAAATGCTGGAGATGGAAACTGACAAGGAGTTAAGGAGTTACAGCAACACTTTAGTGTAAAAGGTCAGAGATGAAGATACACAGACAAGGTAATGATCAAAAAGAAAGAGGTAAAGAGAGCAATAACAACAGAAAGTTTTAATTGGGAAGTAAAGGAAAAAAGTCATGACTTAGCAGATTTAATAATGTATGAAAGTTCATTAATTCTTGAAAAAGTACACAGGCTCATTAATTTTTTTTTAATATACTGCGAGTTTACTTTATATATAGTATATGTCTGGGAGTCATGATGAGAGTATTTCAAGAAAAGCCAAAGCAAATTATAGAAAGCAATTTTGGGGATGGTTATTTAAGTCCAGGTATTCCTAAGTTTCCTAAGCTACAAAATTTAAGATTAAGTAACTTTACACAGAAACTTCAACTGGCACTTGTTCACTTTGTACACTACTTGTTAGCAAATACTGTATGTGTGGATAATTTCACTTGTCTTGCTCCACAATCACAATTATTTCCCTCTTCTCTGAGGTTCATGTACCCCCTTGATCCATCCCACACAAAAGAAGGGAGGTAAAAAGATAAAATGATAGATGTTCTGAGATTCTAGGTCTCCTTACAGAGGTGAGAGAAAACACTAAGTTAACACTCCAGAAAACCTCCTGTTATAGTAGGTGTTCCAGTTAGTGGTGCACCTTAAACAATTAACTACGAATATAAAAATTTAACATTCACTGTCATATTTATGTTGCTTCATGCAGTAACACAGTGACATGAAAATATTAACTAAAAATTTGCTTTCAGCAAGGTAGGTGTATGATAAGTATTGGTTGAATCAATCTGATCTGTATTTTGTTGATAATAATTTAATGTACTGTATATAAACACTAGAGAAACGGAGAAGAAAACAGTCCACATGACGTGTGTATTTCACTAATGCTGGTCATACACCACCTGCACAAAAAAAAGCAATTTATTATTCAATTTTAATTATACAAAAACACGATGCATATTCACCAACCTCGTTAAGGGCCAAGAATGGGAGTACTCTCCTTGCCATTCCTGTTTCACTGCATGGGGGAATACTCTCCCGTATTGCACAAGCATGAGGCTCCAAATCCAAGTACCTGTGCAGTACTTGAGTGTCAGGTACAGTATAAGGTTCTCATTCAGTTAAAGAGGCAATCTTTTGTGACACTAGTTTGAGGTGGATAACATATAGCTCATTTCCTATACTTTACTGCACATCTTTCTAAAAAAATTCCAATATATTTTGAAATAAAAGAGTTAGGTTAAATAAAATCATCATAAACTGGAAGGAAATATTTTGTAAGTCAATAACTGTCTGTATTTACTGTATTTGCCGGCATATAAGACGCACTCCTATTTTACAAGGATATTTTGTGGGATTTTTTTTTTTGTACATTTCGTCTTACAATTATTGAAAGTAATTTTAAATGTTTTGAAGGGGAAAACATATGATTTTGTGCATGTAAATACAATATATACCAGAATCAAGTAGGAAATCATATATAGTAACATTATACTAACCCAACTCTACCTCTGATCAGAGCAAGCTGTGTGGCTTGTTTATATTTTGGTCAAGAGAATTACCAACAGAATGTGACTCGTATTTTTCCCTGTGATGTTTTGTGTTGCCGCGATCTACCACCAGGGTGTAACACCATCACTCTTGTTTTGGAGTCATCGACTCATTGCAAAAGGCTGACTGGCGGCTGAACTTTCTGTTAACATTTCTTTAATCTTTCTAGGGGCATTTTTCATTTAGATAATAAACAAATGTTTCTTAAAGACAATACAGTCTTTAATTAATTTAAGACATGTATCTGGTGTGGGTTACGTCTGCTGGGGAAGGAGGTACAGTGAGATGTTGTGAACTTCCCTCTGCCGTTAAGCCAATGTAAGCCATTATTTGCGTCTTCGTCAAATTTGCCGTAAGTTTGTGATAATAGATTGTGATAATTTGGCTTGTTTTTCAGTATTTTATTATTAGTAACACAATTTTTGTGCTTAGTGGACTACTGCTCATCCCAGACTCACTAGCTAGGCACCTCCGCCTACGGCCTCCCATCCGTAATACAGGCGCATTAGATGCAGGGTAATTTGTGATACATAAAAAATTAAATAAAAATGCGTCTTATTTGCCGGCAAATAGGGTATATCTAACACATACCTCAATGGAGTGATCTGTCTTTAGCTATTCCCTATAAGAGTAATAGTAGCATTCTTAGGGCAAATACAGTCCTAATATATATAACCTTCACTATAAATGAACATGACTCTGAATGCAATCCCACAGTTAGGATCATATCTGGCACTATCAACCTCTCAACTGCCAAATGGGAATGGTCTTTTGTCCCTAACTCCTGAGAGCAGTAAGCACACTAACAAGTCACCTGACATAGAATATCAAGCAAGAAAATACCTGTATTCATGGTATCGAAGCTGTTGGTCATGAAGTTCCACAGGAGGTTTAAAAATGTCATCACCAATCAGTGTGACACGAATTCTGCTTCTGAATGTCCAACGGAATTTTCCCTGTTGGTGCAAACTTAACTATGTTAAGATACAGACACGGAAAAAAAATATAAAATAAAATAAATAAATAAAATTAATTTACTTATGTGAGACAGTAATTCTAACAAGTTATCTTTATATTTACATTTGGATGATTTGGGACAGGTATAATTCTCTGAAAATCTGTTAAACAAATACTGTACAGTAAATGCACTGTACTCCACTTTGGGGAAATGAAGAGAGAAAAACTGTGGATTCAGTTCCAGTCTAATAGTACTCTTCTTCTCTTCCTTTGTGAATTTTGAAACAATAACAGCCTCACTGAACCAATAAAAGGAAATAAACACTTGCCTTCAAAAGCTTCTCAACTGCTTCTTTAACTTCCACAGAGTATTTTTGTGGAAGGCACAACTGTCCTTTTGATCTTGTTGGATCTGAGTTGAACCCAATAAGAGGTTTGTTTCTGTCTAAAATTTTTGAAGCGGCAAGCAGGTAGGTTCCATCACCACCTGTGGTCACAACAGCATCAGCCCACTGAATATTTGACTCTGTGTAGTCAAACCGATACACAGTTTTTGTCTCGATACCGGCTGCAGTGAAGACACTATTGACTGTGTTTTCAACACCCTAAAGAAATACATATGATATAATTTATGTAACCATTAGTCTTTCAGTTCACTTGATGCATCTGTTTAGTCACTAAGTTCTCATTCTCTCCACACATAAATATTCCCATATTTAATTCATCATCTACTCCTTTGCAATATCTTATCTTTTTTCTCAACCATTTTTCTTTAGTTACTCTCCAACCACACAGTCACAATTCCCTCCCCCCCCCAAAAAACGGAACTCATATACAGTACAGCTCCTCCCCGACTTACGACCACCCGCACTTACGACCTGCCTCAGTCGTACCAAAATTTTTTCAAATTACGTATTTTCGAGTCCCAACATCAGTGATTGTGCTGTGTACTGACAAAAATTTTTGTTTGTAATTCACTTTAAAATGGCTGGCAAGCTTAAATGTGAGAGTTTTGTGGTGCTGAGAAGAAAAAGAGACACCCATTTTAGATTTTCTATGTATTATTTAAGCATTTTCGACTTACGACCATTTTGACTTACGACCTGGATTTGGGTCCCTAACTCCGTCGTAAGTCGAGGAGGAGCTGTATGTCACAAGCATGATACAAACCTATCTAGTGTCACATAACTATGTATAATTAGTGATCACTAACAAAGACTGCATTATTCTGTTTGACATTGCTACACTTGATGGCACACTGAGCTTTCTTTTGTCACTCCTTTCCCAGGTAGAACTATTTCTAAAAGCTCTGCTTCACTTCCTATCTCTCCTGAAAATATTGCCCAAATTCTGGTAGCTTATCAGTCTTCAGGTTGTACAGCTTCCATTCCACTTTACAGCCTGATGCCCAACAACAGCCAGCTCACAAAATGTTGTTCATCTTGTTTTTGGGTCTAGACCCAGCAAAATCCTAAACACTGTTGACTGGCCTAACCATATACTTCCCCATTACAAATATAGTCATTGATGGGAAAATTGGAAGTAAGATTTGTGAGCTGTGTTGCAGATTTATCCTGCTCTGGTAGTGGAACAATCTTTTAGCACCACCTCCTCCCTCTTTTTAGCTAGCTTCTGTAACATGAGGCATCTGGCAGGGGGTATCAAGCAATAAAGGGTGGAGTGAGCTTGGAAATCTCATTTTGCTGAGTCTGCAGCTAGATGCCCTCTTTCCTTTTGTGGAGTAGTGAACAAGCAAGTGGAGCTGAATATGGTGGAGCTCAAACAAGTTGCATCCACAGTTAGTGTGATGCTACAACTCGGCAGTTTCCTGCTATTAATGGCAACAAATGAAATAAGGATAGCTAATCAGTCTGATTAGTTAGTCTCACCACCAATGTCTACAGTTTACAGTACCAGGGTATAAACCCTTGAGCAAGGTGGGTGATATTATATGAACTTATGAACTGCCTGGCTACAGGCTCATCTCTTAATGGAATTTCCAAGATTAATCCTACATTTATTAAATACAATAATTTTTATTTCATTTACAGTAATGTTCAATAATGTTGTAATATTCATCCAACAAACTCTTACCAATATTTATAACCATTTTACTGACTGACAATATCATCACTGTACAACAGCTCTTAGTTCCAATCTTTTTTATCACTTCTGAATTCCAAACTGTACCTGTAAGACATGCTACAACCATCCTTACTACTCCTATTGTGTATAAGTTATATATTGTAACTATAGCACCTCACCCAATCCTAAATTAACTTACTCTGGCATAAAACTTTAACCATTCACTCACTCCAAGCAGAGCCCAAGCGTACCTACTCCACGTCCCGACAATCATCCAACAACTGCCCAACTCACAAGTAATCCAATACAGTAACAGATACTTTGCCTCGTGGGCCCCTCAGCTTTCTGGGCCCTGGGACAACAGTACCTCCAGACCCCACTATGCTTGGACCCTAACTCTAAGACATGGTCAATTCACTATACAGAAGCTCCTCACTGTCTCTGATAACTTTCCTCTCACACCAGTTAATACTTTCTTAATCTATACCAAAAACAATATATAATAAAGAAGACTGGGAGGGTGTGTGTTGCTCTTGCTTCTGGCCTCTGTGTACCAGCAGTGGGAGAAGACTTGCAAGAGTTGAGATAAACTCTGCATCTATCACTATCCTATCTAAACTGTTTTTCTTATATCCTTTTGAAATCTGTGTCCTTAACTCCCAATGGAAGCAATGACAAAAGCATCTGATGGGTACTGTATATTAATTCAGTATATTAAACCAACCTTATGAATATAATGATGGTACAGTAATATATTATAGTCTGATCCTCTTGCTGTAAGACATTTTTCTAGTTGCCTTTCAGTAAGTTCTGGGTGTCGACGCTTTTCAAATTCATATCTTGAAAGTTTTGTCAGTATGAGGACTCTCTTTGGTTTAAAATTTCCTGGCTCAAGGTGTTGAGGGGACATGACAGCATAACTTCTTCTACAGCCACACATTGTTACTCCTGTGGAACAGTGGGTATGAGAGGGACATGAAATATATGGTTTATTTATTCATACCAAATTTATCCTTTACATAGAGGTAACCTGTACTAAAAACAAACAAATAATGAATCTACTCTGAGGCTAACATATTTAGCAAAGATCCCTAATTGAGAACCATGGTTTGTCTGAACAATGAAAAAGAATTAATCTTGCGAGTATCAGATGCTACTTTCTGAACAATGAAAAAGAATTAATCTTGTGAGTATCAGATGCTACATTAAGTATTTATTAGTTTGAACCTTGCAGGGATAATAGTCCAGTCAAACAGCAGTGTGTTTTCTGAATGTATGTGTAGGAGAGGAGGTCCAATGAAGATCTGAAGAGACTGGAGATGTATGGGACCATTGATTTATGCTACTGTACTGTCTAAAACATTTAAAAAATGAGACAAAATATAGACTCTGAGTGATGATATAATCACAACTGTGCTTAGATTACTGAAAGTCTCTACTAAAACGTACAGGATCTCATTGGGGGTGGTGTTAATACCTGTGCTGTAAATATTGGCTTGTCACTTGTTTTCAATTTGATAGACTTCACTTTCACGTTTCCTCATTGTTCTCCCTGAAGGGGATGCTTTGCCTCTTATGCATTTATGGGATCCTTTTCCATTAGTTATCACAAGTTATCTGTGCTTATTGAGGATCAAGACTGTGTTAAGGACTTCATATGTGATCAGGAACTTATTGGAAGGATATGCAAGTGTCCAAAATGCTGCAGGGAACTGAAATTAAAGGTAAAATACTTGTTTAAGTGTAGCAGTCGGATACCATCACTGCACTCAACCCATCATGATATTAAAGTACAATAAGATTCTTTTGCTGTTATGGGGGTCGGGGAGTGGGGGTTAGGGCTAGCCCACTGGTTAGAAGTTAGGTAAGGTGAAGTTGGTTAGGTTTGGGTAGGTTCTGTGCATTATCATTTCCATTTTCTTATTTAGCATCATGCAGAAATCTTGGTGCATTCCATAAGTTCCTTTGGTAATCCTGGAGGAGATGGCTAACACCAGAACACGTTCGATTTTATTCATTTTTTCCACAGATGTTCTTTGAATGCTAGCAAGTACCTAATAAAAATGATACAACAATGCACAAAATCTATTAGAACCAGACCTAACAAACCAAAGCAACCCACCCAACTTTACCTAACTTCCTAGCCGGAGGGCTCTGACCCCTACTACATTAAAGAGAAAGAACTTATTTTGATATCTGGTACCAATGAAAGCAACTTTATTGAAGCATCAAGGTGTAATTTTAAATTTTTAGTGGATGTGAGAGTATGCTTGGAACGAGCAGTTAGACTGTAAACAAACGAACAGCAGACGACACGACAGATTTTTCAGCAGAATAATTACGGTAAATAAGTAATTTTTTCGCAAACAAAATGCAGAGGCATCATTTTAGTATCATATGATCAGTTTTCCCACCGAGTTTTACCCCGCAATATCGCTTATTCTTCATACTCTGCCCACTACAGGTGCTTTATGATTCTAGATAGGAAAAAATAAATAAATAAATAAATAAATAAATTATATATATATATATATATATATATATATATATATATATATATATATATATATATATATATATATATATATATATATATATATATATATATATATATATATATATATATATATATATATATATATATATATATATATATATATATATATATATATATATATATATATATATATATATATATATATATATATATATATATATATATATATATATATATATATATATATATATATATATATATATATATATATATATATATATATATATATATCATTAAAATAAATGGTTGTCATGTCATTTTTATTACTATAACCCAAAGAACATCTGTAGAAAAAATTTACAAAATTGAACAATTCCTTCTGGTGTTAGCCATCTGCTACATTATTACCAGCCAATCACCTCCAATCGACGCCAGTCACCAGTACAGTATATGTTTATGACCTACACGGATCGGGCAGTTGCTCTCACGTTCACAAAAAATGTAAAAGTACACCATAAAATAGTAAGTTCTTTCTGTTTAATAAGCCGGGGTCCGGAGGGTTGGGCCTCACTAATATGAAGTTAGGTTTCGTTAGGTAGGTTTCTTTGGTTAGATTGGTGAAGTCTTCGAACAATGCTTCTGCAGCGTGTTTTTCTTGTCAACTAAGGTTAGGTTAGGATTAATTTAGAAATAAGCACTTTTTAACATCAGCGGCTGTGAAGTCGTTAATTACCGATTGGCTGTGTACTGTCACAGCACGCCGAGAAAGAAAAAGCAATGCGTGCCTAGTTGCCTAATTATCTATCAAACAAAGTAATTTCCGTAAAAATTATTATTATATCAGAACTCACTGATGAAAATATGTAAAGAATAAGAAGTAAGTCCTCGTTTAATGTTGCCCCGACAACGTTGTTTCGTTATAACGTTGCTACTCTTTAGATACCCATGATTTGGACAACGTCCCGCTGATTAGGTATAAGATCGTCACGGAGCCGCCGCCCTCCTCTCCACTACCCACCACACACTCGCTCCACCTCCGCCCATCATTAAGTACAATACTATATGGTTTATTTTATTCATCTTTTTGTATGTATAATATATACTATTTTCGGTGAATTTATAATATCACACTGGCTTTTATTTCCGTATAAAAAATATGTATCTCGTAATGTTTACACAATTCTAAGATATTTTTCTTCTATGATATTTCCACCGGAAATTAAGGATAACTGATATATTAATTTTTCAAGATTATTACTTTCGCTCAGCAACAAGTGTCGCCATGATTTGTTTACTTATGGCAGAGGTGGTACGACTCCCTGCTCATGCATAGCTCCAGGCCTCAATCTTTGCTCTTTAAGCATCTGGGGCAAGAACAATGGGTTAGGTTAGGTTTTCTTGGTTGGTTGGTAATATAATGTTATTTATTCTAAAAAAGAACTCCAACTTTTTCGTTATGACTGTTGTGTGTGTGTGGGGATCTAAAAAAAAAAAATGATTTCCGGTGGAAATGGATATCAAATTCGTTCGAAACTCATCAAAATACATAGGTAAAAACTATTTTTAATATCGATATAAAGACTGGTGACACTATAAATTGACCCCATTTTCTATAAAAATTCCATTGAATTTATGTATATGTAATGTATTTTATGGGGCAAAGGGAGGCTGGGGAACGTTATTCCCGTATTTTATATATTTCTTATGGGGAAAATGTATTCCGTTAACGTCGCGGTTTTTAGGAACGGAACCACGAGGTTAAGTGAGGACTTGCTGTATCGGCAGTGGATATTCTGCCATGACCAGCTAAGTTCCTACTAACACTACTTTACTGTGAGTGCAGTCTGATTGGCTAATCATCCATTACCAGTGAACAACGCAAGAGCGATACGTGACCTTAACTCTGACGGTATTTGGCATTTATTTCATCGTGAATCGATCGTTGTGTAGCTATAAACATTCCTAACCAGAAGTTGTTCGATTTGGGTATTTTTTCCATCTTATCATTATAAAAGAGGCAACATTTACTAGAACCTAATAGAACCTGACCAAACCAACCAAAGACACCTACCTAACCTTATCTGACTTTCTAGCTATAAAGCGGACCCCCATTATATTAAAAAGAAAATAATTAGCGAATCAGAGTGCATTCACGGTAAAATAGCATTATTGAGAACGTAGCCGGTCACAGCAAAATATCCATTACGAAGAATATAAACAGCAAAACAAATAACATGTCAGCTGGGTAGTCCTCCATATTTGCCACCGTTCCTTATGGTAATCACTGTCTCCTCCACCTTTACCACTAATATCTTTAATTCCAAGATTTCCACTTTTCCTTCAGTGTTACTCACTAATATCAAAGCAATATGGTTATATATTTTATGCAATAGTAACAAGCTTGTGACAGCTTCGTAAGGAAATTCCGATATTATAGTTTTGCCAACTATAGAAACTGACAAAACAGATTCTCCTTTACAATTACAGTTGAAGTAATAATAGTCACGGGCTAAGACAGCATCTTCCCCAACTTGAAAACGTAAAATTAACGTACCTGTTTTCAGAATACTTGTATTTCTGTAGCTGAAGATACTCCTCAAATTATTCATAATTTATAATCACTTGATTAAAATACCTGTACAATTATAGGACACTTATTTTCCAGGTTATATTGTGTTAATAATTGCTAGATATCCACATAAGTGTGCAACTTTACAGTCAGCTGCTGACCGTCTGCCTGAGCTGACATCGCTTAATTCCATCAGTTCATATGGCAACGTGAGCTCGGTCTCCCTTTACTTGAAGACTAATAATGTTGTAAAGCTAAACCTCAAATTTAATTCACTTGAGGTTATTGAACAAAGGCATCAAACCCGTAAAACACTTACCAACAGTGCATAACAGACGTGATCGACCACCCAAGCGACTAACAAACCAATTAGTGGTAAAGAGGATAACATTAAGATTAATGTTTACATTACCCAACCTCACTGCTGTTAAACTTGATACAGCAAAGTAATATTATTACAAATGATTTTAGAGGAATGGAATAGGTTTATATATTTTTGCCTTTGTTGCAAAAAGAATAATGCAGCAGCTAACCATGAACTTTTAATGAATTTAGTAAATGAATCACAGTTCAAGAAGATTGTTTATCAATCAGAGTTGCCAACTTAGCGACTTTGTAGCTAGATCTAGAGCTTTTTGTTTTTTTCTAGCGACATTTTAGAGCGATTTGCGACTTGTCGCAAATCTAGAGATATCCACAGAAATCTAGCGACTTTCTGGATACTTTTGGACTGTCCATGAAAACTCAGTTTTCCTAATTTCGAGCCATAATATATAGCAACGGGGTTACAGGGACAATAAATAATAAGAAAAGTTTAATACATTTGAACGGGTCGTGGTACAAAAGGAGGGACACGTCTATTTCCTGATCACTTACTTTTACTTTTACTTTTATCCTCTTCACCACTGATCGGCTTGTTAGCCGCTTGGGCGATCGGTCACGTCTCTTTTCCTTTATATTCTTCACCAAAAGGTCGGCTCGCTAGCCGCCCGGGCGATCGGTCACGTCTCTGTCACGCACTGTTGGCAAATACTGGGCATGCACCGGCTCCTGAATGTACCTGAACCCGCTCCAGTGTTGGTCAAGTCTTGTCTTGAAAGAGCTCACACTCGGTGCCGTCACAACACTCTCTGGTAGATTGTTCCAAGAGTTTACAACCCTCACTCCGAAAAAGTTTGCCCTCACGGTTTTCCGGACTTGCGGCTTCTTCAATCTTGAGCTGTGACCCCTTGTGGGGCGAGCGTCCGCCAGCTCCAAGTAAGGACACTCAACTGAGTAGTGCCCCCTGAGATGCTTATAAACCTCAACTAGGTCCCCCCTTGCCCGTCTGTAGTATAAGCTAGGCAAGTTCAGGCGCTCCAATCTCTCAGGGTAGCTGAGATGCCGAAGTGCAGGCACCAGTTTGGTGGCCCTCCTTTGAACATTTTTGATGTCAGCCCGTCCATGCATCTAACACCCAAAAATTGTGGTCAGAAGTGGCAAATTACAGAGATGCGACAGGTGAAAACCCTTACCATGATCTGGCTGAAATTGCACTCGCTGCCTTATCTCTTCCGCATTCAAACGCAGATGTAGAGCGCACATTTAGTAGTATGAACTTTGTGAAATCAAAATTGCGCAACAAAATGAAACTATCGACATTAAAGGCAATTCTTACAATAAAGTATGGGTTAAAAAGACAGAACACCTGTTGTGCAAGTTATGAACTTCCTAGTGATATTTTAAGAAAGATAGGGACTGTGGAGGCACACAGTTACAAGAGAACCTGAACCAAGCACTTCACATGCTTCCAGCTCTACAGTTGTTCACACTGCCGACGACTACGAAGAGGACTGGGATGCAATTACTATTGAATAATAGGTAAGTGTGCACATTAAACTTTAAAAAAAATAATATTTTTATTTTTACATAATGCATTTTATTTATACTCCGTCCATTATAGTCGGCATTATGAAAATATTATTTGCATCAAATTACTGAAGGGGGGGAATAATAGCTAGCGACTTTCCATGGAAGACTTAGCGACATTTAGCTACTTTTAGGTACCAGCCTAGCGACATTTGAAAATCCGAGTTGGCAACCCTGTTATCAATAACTACAGGTCTCGACCTTCAACACCACTAAATATTAGTACTAACCCGAGTCATTTTTAGTGCACTATAGGTGTACACTAATGCAAAAAATCATCAAAATGAGGTGATTTAAGAGTTGTGTATTTGTATTGTATTAAATAAATGTAATTTTGCTTATGTACAGACAAATGTTACGGAGACAATATAACTGATTTTGCGCCAAATTATTGCATGAATTAAAAATGAAATCCAAATGGAAACACCTAGATAATTGCACACTAGTTTGAAGTTTTAGTATTGCTTCTGGGATTAATTACTTACTGTACAGTACTGTAGTCTGTTCAACTTTGTAAATGAGGACCAGGGTCAGTTTGTAGCAATCCAGATGATTGGCTGGCAAACATAGATGCTTCAAGTCACTACAGCTTTTTACTATGTGATCTATCGTATTCATATCCTGATAATTTAAGGAATAAATTTCATGTGTTGATCTAATACATGTGCTTGTGTTAAGTTTTGGGGCCTCAAAATTTTTCCAAAAGAACGCATCTCAACTTATATAATGGAAGTCAATGGGACCTTTGCCCACCAGGGTAAAGGTCAATGACCCACATCAGGTCCAAATACTAATACTAATACTAATACTATTACTACTACTACTACTACTAATAATAATAATAATTAATAAAAAAAATATATATATATTAACTACATATATATAATACTAATAAAGTACCATAAATAAATACACACACACACAAAAAAATATTAATAGTGAGAAACAATATATGTGTTCATTTGTCAAAGAAAGAGAAACAAGTGAAACCTTGTAATTGTGTGTAAATGAGGCAGAAAGTCAGATCAGCAACCTGGGACTTGATCACAAATTGGGGTCCGACTAATTACCCAAATGTACCCAAATATAGCCGGAATGAAGTCAAATAATGGTCCTAGATGAATAAATCGGACTGCAAATCACTTCTCGACAAATATTTGGTGTCAGAAAGTCACAAAAAATTGGAAAACTTACTTTAATCTGAGTTAATAGATCGCGTGCATGTACCGACGGAGCGAGGAATTACCCAAATGTAGTCGCAATGAAGTCAAATAATGGTCCTAGATGAATAAATCGGACTGCCAATCACTTCTCGACTAGTATTTGGTGTCACAAAGTCACAAAAAATTGGTAAACTTAATTTAATGAGTTAATAGATCGAGTGCATGTACCTAACCTAACGTAACCTAACCTAACCTCGACTAGTATTTGGTGTCACGAAGTCAAAAAATATTGGTAAACTTAATTTAATCTGAGTTAATAGATCAAGTGCATGTACCTAACCTAATCTAATCTAATCTAATCTAACCTAACCTAACCTAACCTAACCTAACCTAACCTAACCTAACCCAACCCAACCCAACCCAACCCAACCCAACCCAACCCAACCAGCAACCCAACCCTTATTAGCCAACCCAAGCAACCCAACACAACACAACACAACACAACTCAGATTAAATTAAGTTTACCAATTTTTTGTGACTTTCTGACACCAAATACTGGTCGAGAAGTGATTGGCAGTCCGATTTATTCATCTAGGACCATTATTTGACTTCATTCCGGCTATATTTGGCTATATTTGGGTACATTTGGGTAATTAGTCAGACCGCAATTAATTTTCGTGATGTATTATGGCAACAGGGTCTACCATTAGACAATACATTATGCTTCCAATATCTTCCCAGGCGGTAGTAACTCCCCTTTTGATAGCTGCATACTACGTGACCGGCAGCCGAAAAGTGAGGTTCAGGCTTGAATTGAATTGAAAGTTTATTTAGCCAGAAAAACACAAATACAGAGTGGATAATAATAATAACATTAACAAGGCTGAGCCAGTTGAGAACCTGGGCTCTCTTTTAGGCACCTGATATATACTATACATTTATCTCAAGGAAGAATTATGTAACATTTAGTATCATCTGGAATAGTACAATAGCATGGTGGTAATAAGAACATCTTATAATGTTACCACGGTTATCACTTCAATATTTATTATTTTTATTTATTTATTTTTATTTGTTTTAGTTTATATATTTTTTTTATATAAATACCTGTATATAAATTACAGTGGAATTGAAAAACATAAGTATAATGGGGGAGCAGTACAACATGGGTTGTACAGTAATAAGGTTGAACAAGAGGACAGAGCTGTCAGGATTATGTCTAGTTGACAATTATGTTTATTGCAATGGTAATTACTTATCTATTTACATGATAATTTTTGATAAAACGGTTTTGATGGTACAATAAAAGCAAGTACAGTACTGTAAATATAGCAGGTGTTACAAGAAATATTAATACTTCGACAATATATATTTTTTACGAGATGATTTAAAGGAAGTTCCATAGACTTTGCTCGGATGGGTGGGGGTAAGTTGTTCCACACTTTCACACCGTGATATTTTATGGAGGTCTGGGACTGAGAGAAGCGCATGGGGGGTGGTCTTGGTAGATGTGGGTGCCTTAAGTTGTATCTCTAATTATTCCGGAACTGGAAGTAATTATTGTCAAGCAAGTGATTGACAGATTTGTAAACAAAGAGGGCACAGCAGTAGGTGTTAATATCTTCGAATTTTAAAATTTTCAATATAGCAAATTTTTCGTTTGTGTGATCTGTTTTTTCAAGTAGGTCATTGTCCGTACAACTCTCTTTTGTGCAGTAACCAGGGATTTTGTTTTTGAAGAGCCAGAAGCCCCCCATAGTGTGTGACAGTGTATCAGGTGTTGGTAAACAAGATCATGATAGATTTCTTTCATTGCTGGGAGTGAGTGACTGTCGAGTGTGATACATGATACCGCATTGTTTATTGACTTTACTGTGAATGGCTTGTACAGTATATGGTTTCTCCAGTTAAGTTTCTCATCAACAATAACTCCGAGGGATTTAGTATTTTGTTCCCGTTTGAGAACTGTATTACCAAGGTACAGGGGGTCCAAGTCTGGGGGTAAGTTTTTCCTTCTGTGAAATATCGTGTAGTGGGTTTTCTCAAGGTTTAAGGTCAGTTTATCACGTATTACCCAGGTCCTGACTTTAGTTAATTCAGTGTTCATAGTTCTCATCAAGGAATGGAGGTC